GGGAAAGACAGATCAAAGAAACAATAAAAAGGTAGCAACTGACCAATTTCAAATGGAATTTAGATTATATTAAATGTGAGTTTCATATCAGTAGGGAACTAGTGTTAGACAACTGGCAATCCTCCTTGAAAAATGTAAAGTTTTATGCATATTTTATGCCATATACAAAAATAATTGGATTTAAGACCTAAGAGTTGGGCTTCCCTGGTGGTGCAGTAGTTGAGAGTCTGCCTGCCGATGCAGGGGACACGGGTTCATGCCTTGGTCCGGGAAGATCCCACATGCCACAGAGAGGCTGGGCCCATGAGCCATGGCCGCTGAGCCTGCGCATCCGGAGCCTGTGCTCCGCAACGGGAGAGGCCACAACAGTGAGAGGCCCGCGTACCGCAAAAAAAAAAAAAAAAAAAGGCCTAAGAGTTTTAACCAAAATATAAAATTATCCAAAAATTGGAAAATAATTTAATATCTTGGATTGGATAAGGCCTACCTAAATAAGATACAAAATGAAGAAGAAATTAATCAAGAATTGATCTCATAAAATTTAAAATTTTCTCTGTGATTAAGATACCTAAATAAGTTTAAAGATAAGCAACAGCTTGGGAGAAAATACTTGTTACTTTTACCGTAGAGAAAAGATTAATATATTAAATATAAAAAGAGCCCCTACAAACAAATGAAAAAACAACCTAATAGAAAAATGGGCCAAGGATATGAACAGATAAATCACAGAAGCAGAAATAAAAATGCCCAATAAATACAGAGAAAAATTCTCAGGTTCAAAAGTAATCAGAGTGCAAATTAAAACAGTAATGAAAAATTCTCACTTATTCACAAAATATGATTAATAATATTCATTGTATGTGTTGTGATATTGTGGCACATTCTTGGGGGATGTAAATTGGTAGATAAGTTTTGGAGTACAATTTATGGTATCTATCAATATTTTAAAAGATTTATCCTTGATTCAAAAATTCCAGTATTAGGTATCTATCCAAAGAGAGATACACCCAAGTGTACATGAGAAGAATGTACAAGGGAAAAAACTGCACATAATCTAATTCTTTAATAAGATAGTGGATAAATTATGGAACATATCATTTTATGGAATAGTATATATCCATTAAAAATAATGAGGTAGATGTGAAAAGAGCTCTGGAGTTGTTAAATGAAAAAAGCAAGTCATAATACAGTCCTTTAGTGTAAGTATATATGTGTGTGTGTAAGAAAGATTTTTTTCTTTAATCAAAGTAATCATCAGGCTCTTGATTTATTTACCCTCTGGTGATTCAAAATAGAGGTACATCCTGAAAAGGAAATAACTGCATAATTTTGCATACAGTAGAGGCAGCCTGTGGTGAACAGACTGGACACCACTCCTGACTCTGCTTCTTCGTAGTTATGAAACCTGGCAATTGACCTCTCTGAGCATCAGGGATTTTTTTAACCTACAAAAGAGGACAGTGATTCACCAAAGAACATACAGAAATACAACTTACGTATTATAATTTTCAAAGTACTTGAGTGTATGTGTATGTGTATATCTTAATTGTATTTCTATTTTTTTCTTTGATTAATATTATTAAAGATTCCAGGATAGTTAGATTAATCTCAGTTATATTTAATTTTTAACAAGAGTTTCTTATGAAGTTTTCACATTTTACAATGGTGGACCTTGTAAGGACATGGAAAGAAAGCCCATACGATGAATGGTGAATAAATTGAAGTTCAGTGGACCTTCCAAACATCTCAAAGTCATCTTGTTATGGGTTGAATTTTGTTTGCCCCAAAAAGCTATGTTGAAGTCTTAACCTTCAGTACCTCAGAATGTGACCTAATTTGGAAGTTAAGTCATTGAAGATTTAATTAGTTAAGACAAAGTCACGTGTGAGAAGGTGGGCTCCTAATCCAAAACGGTGTCCTTATTGAGAAGAGGGAAATTTGGACATGGAAACACAGAAAGAACTTGTGAAGACAGATGCAGCGATTGGAGTTCTGCTGCTACAAGCCAAGGAACTCCTGGGGCTACCAGAAGCTGGAAGATGCAAGGGAAGATAGTCTCCTAGAGGCTTTGGAGAGAGGCTGGCACGGCCAAAGCTTTGATTTTGCATTTCTGGCTTCTGTGAGAACCGTGAGAGAATAAATTTCTTTTGCTTTGAGCCCCAGTTTGTGGTACTTTGTTTCAAGAAGACCTAGAAAGCTGACACACACCTCCAAGTAAATTTTGGTTAACTCACCATAAAATTAGGTCAACTGTTACTAATGTGAATAAATAACCATACTGCTAATGATAAACCCTATGTTAATTATAGACAATTACCAAGAGAATCTTATTAAACTTCATAACACCTCACGGAAAAAGTTGTAGGAAATAAGGATTTCATCTCATACGCTGAAACGTCTATAAGGTAAGTTAAAATTTAAGTAGGAAATAAAATGATTATAGGAGTTTTAGAGTTAAAATAAATCAAACCAATCTAATCAAAAATAAATCAAACCAGTCTAATCAGCTTTTGTATATGTATTGCTATTAACTTGAAAAGCTTACATTGTTTTATACCTTTATAATAATTGCCAGTTTTCTCATTAGCAGGAGTATTCTCCTTATTTTCTCCTTCCACTTTATGTGGTTGTTCAGCCATAGGCTGCTCAGGTAAGGGCGTCATCTCAGGCCCTGAAAAAAAGTATGACCAGAGATCAGAAATATGTTGATTTCTTTGACTACTTTCTTTTTCTAACTGCATTTTTTCACAAAGGATTTGAGTCAGAGATTTAAAATCTAAGTTATACCATATTTCCAACAATAAACTTTATATCATCCTATAGGAAATTGCCACGGATTGTTGGAGAGGGCGTGGAGAAAAGGGAACCCTCCTACACTGTTGGTGGGAATGTAAATTGGTGAAACTGCTATGGAGAACAGTATGGAGGTTCCTCAAAAAACTAAAAATAGAGTTGCCATATGATCTAGCAATCCCGCTCCTGGGCATATACCAAGACAAAACTATAATTCAAAAAGATGAATGCACCCCTATGTTCACAGCAGCAGTATTTACAATAGCCAAGACATGTAAACAACCTAAATGTCCACTGACATATGAATGGATAAAGAAGATGTGGAATATATATACAATAGAATATAACTCAGCCATAAAAATGCGTGAAATAATGCCATTTGCAGCAACATGGATGGACCTAGAGATTATCATACTAAGTGAAGTAAGTCAGACAGAGAAAGACAGTACCAGATGATATCACTTACATGTGGAATCTAAAATATGCCACAGATGAACATATCTATGAAACAGGAACAGACTCACAGACATAGAGAACAGACTGTGGTTGCCAAGCGGGTGGAGAGGGAAGGATTGGGAGTTTGGGATTAGCAGATGCAAACTAGTGTATATAGGATGGATAAACAACAAGGTCCTACTGTATAGCACAGGGAACTATATTTAATATCCTATGATAAACCATAATGGAAAAGAATATGAAAAAGAATATATATATGTGTATGACTGAGTCACTTTGCTGTACAGCAGAAATTAGCACCACATTGTAAATCAACTATACTTCAAGAAATTTTTTTTAAAAATTGCTATGGACCAATTTTCTAGGATAATGGATCATGTTTCTTGTCTGCTATTCTGATGCAAGTTTTAAATGCTCACCTTCATCGGTGGGATCCGTACCACTAATCTCTGGGTGAAAAACCCCGCATAAAAAAATAAACAATATAAAATTCATTGGGAAAATGACGTGATTTATCCAATGATCTACTGTGTCTCAGAGTTTCCTTTCTGTTGCCCACCAGGTCCTATAACTAGCAGGGACATTATGATGTCACTGCCAAATGGAGATCAGAATGCTGGGGAGGAATTTCCAAAAGCTTTGTGACTCAGTCTGATGTCTTTATCTTTGGTCCTACAATAGTTTTTAGGTGTTTTTTTTTTTTTTTTTTAATAAACCACTATAAGATTTTCTTTGAAAATTAAGAGTTATGTTTTCATGAGGTAATGTAAATTTTTGGTTCCTGGATTTTAAAGAACAATTAATATTGCTGATAGAAAGATAAGAACAGACCTTTTTGGTTTTCAAAGCATTTACAATACTGTATGTTCTTTTGGATAACCACAAAGTATCTCCTAAAAAACTAATCAGATACCAAAATTCAATCCAAATGCCCTGCAAATTCTGGTTCATGGGCTATCTTAACTGTAATTCTTTTTTTTTTTTTTTTTTTTGTGGTATGTGGGCCTCTCACTGTTGTGGCCTCTCCCGTTGCGGAGCACAGGCTCCGGACGCGCAGGCTCAGCAGCCATGGCTCATGGGCCCAGACGCTCTGCAGCATGTGGGATCTTCCCGGATCAGGGCACGAACCCGTGTCCCCTGCATCGGCAGGCAGACTCTCAACCACTGCGCCGCCAGGGAAGCCCTTAAGCCCCTAATTCTTTAGGGGAAAGTTTTTTGAAACATCCTTTTGTGGGGGGGGGGGGGTTTAAGACCTATATTCTTTATAGAATATAAAATATTTGTTTTGCTAAAAACATTTTATCAGTGAAACCCATCTTTTACCTCACATCATACAGACTGAGAAAATTATCTAACAGTCAGAAGAGGACTTAGGCCTGGATAATATTACCCATACATTTTTCATATAATAACTCATATAATAAGCAATAAAGGCAAGAAATCAAATGGACAATACCAATATTGCTCTTCATATTAAAGGATCACCTAACATCCCCTCCCTCAATTGCAATTATTATTGATGGAGTCTCTCAGCTCTAGACAATATTCATAATTAAAATGACACAAGCATCAGGAGAAAAAGCGCACAAGTTTAAAAGGACTTGAATGTTTTTTCAGTATAATGAAGGCTCACAAATGAAGTCCAGCCAGTGTGGCACTGACTGGGCATACCTGAGGTACTAAAGAGTAAACTCGGCAGGAGTCTAATTGCTTAAGAGGGTGAGAGGAAGCAGAGAGGACTTATCCTAAAGGAAAAGATGTTTAGGATCACAGCCTCAGTCCTCAGTCAACCAAAGCAAGGTGGTCCTGTGTGTAGTACTGTTTTTCTTTCAGGTCCTCCAGCCCATTCTTCCGTGGGTGCTGGGAAGTGGAGAAGAGATGTGAGTAAAGAACTAGCAGGCTTCTGGAGCCCTTTACTTTGGCATCTCCCTAACAGGGTGCAACATAGAAAAGGGGAGGTACTTGGAGCAAGCATGCCCCTGGTTGCCCTGACCCACTGCACAGCTTTGGCTGATGGAGCTCAGCCATGATGAAACTTAGCAAAAGACAGAAGTTGCAGGGTTGGGGAGGAGATGGCATCCAGTGGAATTACCAGTTGTTCTCTCTGCAGAATCCTCTTATATTCCTAGAATAGTTATGCTTATTTTCAGATGGGACAAACCCTCTCTACGTGTTATGGAACTGGTAGAGTGAATTGGTAGATTTTTTTTTTTAACATTCGATTTTATGAAACTGTTTATTTAAAAATTGATTCTAATTTTCCTTTGTCCCATGACCAGTACTCTTTCTAGAGTATATCACTAGTGTTATGGGTTGAACTGTGGCTCCCCACCCCCAAGTTCATATGTTGAAGTCCTAACCCTCCAGTACCTCAGAACATGACCCTGTGTGAGATGGGGTCACTGCAGATGTAATTAGTTAAGATGAAGTCATACTAAAGTAGGGCGGGCCCCTAATACAACATGACTGCTATTCTTATAAAAAGGGGAAAGTTGAACATAGACAGACAGATACACACACACACACACACACACACACACACACACACACGGAAAATGCTATGTGAAGATGCAGGCAGAGATGGGGATGATGCAGCAAAAATCAAGGAACACTGAAGACTGCCAAGAAACTACCAAAGGCTAGAAGAGAGGCACAGGACAGATTCTCCCTTACAGCCCTCAGAAGGAACCAACCCTACTAACACCTTGGTCTCAGATGTCTAGATTCCAGAACTGTGAGTCAGCAAATTTCTGTTGTTGAAGCCACTCAGTTTGTGGTACTTCTTTATGGCAGCCCTAGCAAACAAACACTAGATAAATTCTTTGGGTTCTTGGGAAGAGATTATGGAAACTAAAATTGAATGTGTCCTCACTGTATATCATCAGTTTAGGCTGTAGTTATCATTTCCATGAATGTAAATATTCTATTACTCAATAGAGTAAAAACCGATCTTTAAAAAAAGTGTATGTTTACTTTCTATACATTAAACTATATTTTATGCCTTTGAAGAATGCCCTAAGAAGGATCCATTGCTAATACCAAGGATGTCATTAGATATACTTTCTAATCTATGATTTTATTTTATTTCCTGTTTCTTGACCATGTCTGGATTATAAGCCCCTTCCATTTCGGTGTCTTCTCCAACAAGAGCACTGGGCCAGGAGTAAGAAGGAATATATTTGGGTCTTAGCTCCATCACTTACTACCTATGTGATCATGAGCAAATCATCTCTCTAACCCTGAATTTCCTCATCTGGAAAATAAGTAAATTAGATATCATACCAAGTAGATATTCGAGGCATTTACTGGGTTGAATCTATTTCCTGAATTTATTTACTTCATAAAGAATTTATTTACTTTCTATACAGATAACTTTTTTTCATGCCTAAAAGGATTAGCGCTGGTGAGATTTTCACATACACAGCTTTTTAAGAGGCATAACACACCAGTACCTTACTAGGAAAGTAAATGTAAGTAGAAAAAGTGATGTAGTAGAAGACACACAAACATTAAGAAATGAGACCATGTTGTAAAATGACCCCAAACGTATTTTAAAGACTGTCAGTTGAGTCACCCTAATCTTCAAGAGACTCCATTAAACACAGATAGTTCCACAAAGCGTACATTAGTTGTTGCAATCCATGAACATAAGCCTCAAACCTTGCTTAAAATATTAATTTGTATATTACTTTCCTTAAATCTAAATAGTAAGTTTACACACAACATAAAATAAAATAAATGATTGGTTATATCATTATAATTTTGTAAAACCAAGAACAATGAACTCTGCTTCATCGGAATGGTTAGGGAACTGAGGTTCTTTTTAACAGACTCTCTCAAACTAAACAGAAGTTACCATTTCATTCAGGATTGCCAATTTTCAAAGAACTAGAATCTTTCAACAAAGTATAAGAAAGTTCTTTTGAACAGAATGTAATCTCTTTTCTCTCTTTGTGGGACTGTCAAGAATTTATAGTGCCCTCTGGGTTAAGTGAGAACCTTGATTATCAATGTGTACTTTTGTGTATCATTTTGAGTATCTGAGCTTCTTTTCCCCAGGTCCAGATCCTTTTTATTTATATTATTATTTTTTATTTAGGTAAAGCTTTTCTTAGCTTCTAGATAAATAGAAATATTGAAATAAGGGTATTTTACTAACATGGTGACTCGTGTAGTAAAAGAGAAATATCTGTTGATATTAAAACGTTGGGTTTAAAACCAGATCCTTCATTCACAACTTCATAGAAGAGGCCAGGGAAGACTGCACGGAATCTGGCCAGGCTGAAGTTGTTTAATTAGGTTGCTATTTAAAAACTGCCACTTAACCTAAGTCTTAAGGATGTTGCTAATTAATAGCTATCCAAAGATTCAGGACAACAGGGTGGATGCATTAGGACAGAGGGACAAGAACATT